GATCAATCTCTTTTCAAATAAAGAGATTGTCGCGGTGTTAGTAGCTGCATTATCAAGCGTTAGCGCTACAACTCTATAGTTATAAATATTCTTGCAAAACTTCAAGAATTGTAAAATAAATAGTTTCAGCACTATGTTTTTCATATAATGGTTTAAAACCTATCATTTTATTGTAAACCCCAATTATGATCTAACAAATGTACTGTGATAGTTAAAAAAACGGTTTTTTGATCACAAGCCCATATGTCTTATGTAAGTGCAATAGATATATTCCTAAAATTGAAATTCGTTTTTAAGTTATTATTTATTTTGTTATAAAGTTTTAGTATTCTCTTCTACTTGCACTTCTACTAACAGGGGTATATGCTGGACAAAATGCAGTTTTAACCATATTAACAAAAAAAGGATTTTTAGATAAAAAAATGGAGAGTTCGTAGCAACTATTATCGTCTATTTCCTTCGTGCAACATGTGTATTGTATTGCCATGTTGAGAAGTTGAGGATTGTGGATTAAAATTAATTTGTCTACCTGATCCGCTAAAGATGCATTTATTGGGGATGCTTCTTCTCTACGTGTCGTCGTATCGTTAAAGTCCCTTCTCAGCGCCAATAATGGTTCCATAAAAATTACCTATCCCACACGATTCTTCCCCCTCCCATTTGTCTTTGGCCGTTTTAATTTGGTGAAGTATCGCCATACATCAGACACGACCCTCTTTGACCGTGGGGAGGTTGGCATGCTCGTGCTCGTTGACTCGCAGCTCACATGTGTTTGCTACACCTCGTCCCAACCGAATGTGGTTGTGGAATGCAGCTGCTTCCTCTGGAGGAAATGGTGAAAATGGATTGAAGCCTTCAATTTCTTCGGTGGATGGAACGTAAAACTCATTTGGGGAAGACATTATAAATTTATGATAAAATAATAAATAATTAAAATGAAAAGAAATTAAAAATATATGAAATTGATGATATTGAAAAATAGAAAAAAATTGAATAATATAAATAAATAATATGATAAATTATAATATAAATGAATGAGAAATTGATTGGAGATTTGGAATAGAGAGATTGAAAGAATGAAAGAATGAGAGATTGATTGGTGTGAAAAAATGAAAGATTTTAGGGTTATTTATAGTGAGTTGTTTGGGGGGGGGGGGGGGGGGAAGAAAAAAAAAACTTATAATTAATAATATAATTATAACTGTTGGCTGCTGTAACCGTTGGCAGCCAACGGTTAAAAAGTTAAAATATATATATATATATATATTTTAATAAATTTTATTTTAGCCCTTGTAATTTATACTTATTTAAAATTAATAAGGAGTTTAATGTAATTTTACAAGGGACTAAAATGATATAATACAAAAAAATTGGGCCCAGGCCTGGGCCTTGGAGGAGGGCCCAGTGGAGGGGCCGGGTCCTCCTCCTTAGGCTTGGTCCCGTTTTGGGACCAGGCCTCCTAGGACCAGGTTTTGGGGCTGGGCTTTTGGGCCCAGTCCCAAATGCCCAGCTCTAACCTAGGCTGATCGATCCATTACTGTTGACTTGAGTTCAAATAAACAATAATGCTATAGACATCAAAGGTTTACACCAAATTTTTACACCGACCGACGTGTCATGCGAGTCAAACGCAGCCACGTAGGACTCTAACAAGTATTCTGCGAATGAACGTTTGTCTATCAAATATGGACGAGCGTCCATGATTATTCAATGACCATTCATTTTAAATGGACTCTAGTCCATACAAAAATAAAAATGGACTTTCGTCCATATTATATGGACGAGAGTTTATTTACGTGAATGGACACCGTCCATAGTTTAAATTATAAAACTATAAAACAATAATAATGGACGCCCATCCATATGTTTAAATTATAAAACTATAAAACAATAATAATGGACGCCTGTCCATATAATATAGACGGGCGCCCATATTCAATGGACAAGTGTCCCTATTAGATGAACGGTCATCCATTGACATAGCAAATAAAAAGATTTTAATAAAATTTCAGGTTTAAAAATTTAGGGTCCCAAAAAATGTTTTAAAAAACAAAAAGCAACAAACATCCATTGAAGTCAACAGTTATTTAATAAGATCCATTGATAAAACAATAATGCTTAGAAAATAAACACATTGCTATGACTCCCAAACAATGGATGCTAGTCCAAAGTCAATCTTTTTTGTCCATAATCAACCAACATTGAAGGTGGGGCATCAAATGTACTCCTGCTATGCCCATTACACTTAAAAAAAAAATGCTTAGAAAATAAAACTCCCCAAAAATGGGTGCCCATCTGGAGTCAAACCATTAAAAATTATAGATGGTGAATTGTTGATTGACGGGCGTCCATATTATAGATGGTGAATTGGTGATGGATGTCTGTCCATATTATATGGACGGGCATCTATTATTTTATTTCTAAAATTTTATGGATAGGCATCCATATGAAATGGATGCCCGTTCATAGTAGATGGACTCACGTCCAAATAATATGGACGGGAGTCCATTGTTATTTTCGTAGATGCTCGTTCATTTATAATGAATGGTCGTCCATCAAATATGGACGAGCGTCCATAATTATTGGATGGCTGCTCATTCACAGAAGACGTGTGTTGTCTACAATGTGGCTGTGTCTAATTGGATGCCACATACGTCGGTACAAAAATTTGGTGCAAATTATGGGTGTTCGTAGCATTATTCTCAAATAAATTGTCAGGTTCATTACCTCTTATATCCTCTAACATAACTTTTGTGCACCTTTCCAACAATGCTTTTTCAAGTCCTATTTTTCATTTTTTGTGAATAAAAGAAATAAGGCAAAGAAAATGGTGTTTCTCAAACTTGAAGATAATTTTTTTATCTAGAGAATTACGTGATTGTTGGATGAAATAGCAAAAATTGCATATGTTGAATTTAGATAACAATAAATTTACTGTTAACATTCCATCATCTATTGGATCATTAAGTTTGCTTCGATCATTACATCTCTGAACTTTGGGATACTTCCAAATATTTTGGATGCAACTTAATATTATAAGAGAACTTTTGATTAAAATAAATAGAGCTATATACTTAGTAATAAATGATATAATTTTCCTTACCTTAATAATTTATATATATTTAATATAAGATAATAAAAACAACTGTACATAATTAGCTATGATAATTTAAAGAAATAATATAATTCAAAACTAATTTGAACACATAAACATAAATCAAATATACGAAAGTTGGAATAAAAATTATGTAAATAAAGAAAATTGACACACACGATCAATCTAACAATGAATGACTTTCCATCGGAGTGCTTGATAAAGTTTGATTGAAATAGAATGAAACTGAAATTTGTTTTGTGTTTTTTACTCTCACACACTCATAGCAACAACAAAAAATAAACCCGTTAAATATGCTATAACCCTAAGTAAGAGTAATTAGATATGGGCGTTTGACCCACTTAGGCAGGTCCCCACCTTGCCCCAAATGGCTTGGGGAATCCCTGAAAGAGAAATAATTCCCTGCCCCACATATATAATATCATTTCATTTAAAAAATTATTATATGATCTTTTCTATGCAATCTTATCAATATTCAATAAATCTTGTTAATCTTATATTAATTTGAATAGTTGAAAATTAATCAATAAAACAAGCTAAACAAATTAATTAGAAGAATGAAAAGGAACTTTATACGAGAACAAATTAAAATCGTTGTAAATTAAAATTACCAATTAATTAGAAGAAAGAAGAGGAACTTTATGTATATTATAAAGATTGAGAGACACAATAAATTGTATCACATAAGTCTAAAATCTAATTTTAGACAATAATATTGGATTATTTTCTAAATTCTAATATCTAATTTTACTACATATCTAACAAGTTACTAACATCATACCTAACAAGTCTTACTACATATTATAATTGATCATGGGAAATATTTAACAAGTCCATATCAATTAATTTGTGACATTTCTTTTAAATAATATTTGTAATTAATTTATCCAATAATTTAGCTTTTCTCTCATTTTCTTCTTTGAAAAAATCACATTTGTCAAGAAATTACCACTTTAATAGTTATTGTTTTCACACTATTAATTGATAAAATGTGATTATAATTATGGGAACATTGAGTGAAATCATACACAATTATGAAAATTGGTAATAATAGATGTTTTTGTATTCAAATAAAAGGTAAATAGTCAAATAAAAACCTTTATACTTATAAAAATTAGATACAAATGTTAACCCAACCCACAATCAATAATCCTAAAGCCCAAACCCAGCCCACAGTCAAAATCCTAAAGCCCATCATAAATGCTGACCCCGCAAAAAACCCAATCCCTATGGCCGGCCCAAGATTTCCCCTTCATCCCTGACCTCGGGGACGGGCTGGGCCTAGGGGGTCAAGGATGGGGCCAAGGAATGGGATCCCCAACCCTTCCCCTTCCCCAACTCGCGCTCATCCAAAAGAGTAATAGACAAAATACCACTTTTCCATGTGGGCTTTATAAACCACATGAGTTTTTGGGCTTCCTCCACAGAAGAGGGAAGACCCAATAGGAGAATGATCAACTATGCGACGTTTTAAAACAGAAAGGGATTGATAGAATTAAAAATTAATTGAACATTGATATCGTAGAAAATAAGTCAGTCATTTACTTAAAATTTTAGACTATAAATGGTCAATTTAGTCATCAATCGACTAGGTGGTTGGCAAACCGCCGATAAATCATTTTCTCTTTTCAATTGGGGGAAATTTTAGCGGTAAGTGCAATAGAAATTTTGGATTAGAATAGATGTTATTTGATTATATTCCGATGGATAAATAGCAATACACAACTTTACAAGTGTGAATTTTCCATTCCGCAATTATATTCCTTCTTTCATTGACTTGACTTGATTACCATAGGAGTACACGGTGGGAAATAAAACAACTGTAAACATTTAAAACCTTGACCCAGAGCGATATTCCAGGGGAGCACCTTTCAACTTTTTTGCAGAAAAATGAGGTTCTGGACCTAGTTTGGACAATTGGTTGCCAGGTCAACACGTAAGCTGAGAAATATGAGATTGTTTTACACGCTCATTCATCATATTTATGAGTAGCTTCTTTTACACGTAGAAGAAGGACTGAGTAATTAAGTAGTAACAATGAAAGAATCCATGAGTATTGTTGCTGCTCCTGCAACCATTCTTTTTATTGTGTTACTTGCCCTTTTAACCATTAATAGTAGCTTCTGCAGTGGACGATCTGACTTGGGATCCTTCAAGCGTGAGAAACAAGATAGTTTAAGGTTTAATCAAGAGCTAAAAGATCCTTCCAATCGCCTTGACACTTCCGACTCCGACCTCCCTCGTAGAACTCTTAAAGCAGCTTACGGGCAGCCAAAAACGGTTGGTAAGATAACAATCTTTCTTTCCTTTATTATTCTTAATAATTTGATTTAATTGCACTTAAAATTGTAATATTTATTTCAATATCTTGACCTTCTTTCTTATCTATGTAAGTCTATACTAAGAATTCTATTTATTTAATTAGGAATCAGGATGCATTTGGAATTATGTAGCTTTTACCATTATCACACTTATAGTTGTGCTCTGAAATTAATCAGCTATAACCCAAAGTTATAGGTTGCCTGATAAACTGTAGTTTACTTTTCTTTTTCTTTTTTTTTTTTTTTTTTTTTTTTTTTTTTTTGCTAATTTATTAACAATTTTATTAAGAATAATTTTTAGAATATTGTCGGACGCCTGTCGGTGATATTCTCCATATTCAATGGCCAGTTGGCGGTTGTCAATGATAACAGTTGCCTGCTAATGACATCTTGACAGCAATTTTATTTTTTAAAATAATAAATTATTTGGAAGTCATTTTGGCATTTTACTAATCGCAAGCAGATTTCTATTGTGAAAAAACAACTCGTGTTACTCGTGTTCATATTGTTGACAACTTAACTGATCTTACAACTACCATGTTTTAATCTATTTTGGAAAATTGTAAGAAACTTAAGTGTGCCTTTGATTCGTGATCCAAAAATATTTTCAAACAGTTAGTAGAGTTTATAGATCTGATTCAATTTTACATATAGGTTTCCTACAACTTGTAACAGGCGTCAAACAACTTCCATGGAAGAATCTTCAATATCTTGACCTTCGTTCCAACTTGTTTGAAGGACCAATTCCAGTTCCGCCACCTGACATGAAAGTCTTTTTAGTATCAAACAATAATCTGACAGGAGAAATACCTCATTTAATCTGCAATATTAATACCCTTGAAGTTCTTGATCTTTCCAACAATAGCTCGACGGGTACCATTCCAGAATGCTTGGGACACTTCAGCAACAGTTTGCGCGTGTTGGATCTGCAGGAGAATAAGTTTTATGGCAACATTCCTGGAGCATTTACAAAGGGCAATGACTTGAGGACCCTCAACTTCAATGGCAATGAATTGAAAGAGCCAATCCCAAAATCTTTGCTTAATTGTGAAAAGTTGGAAGTCCTAGATTTGGCAAATAACAAAATAAACCAGTCCTTCCCAAAATGGTTGGGAAGCCTTCCGGCATTAAAGGTTCTTGTTCTTCGTTCTAATAAATTTTATGGTCTTGTAACGGATCCTAAAGCCAATAGTACCTCTTTCTCTAAGTTGAGAATTTTTGATATCTCGAACAACAATTTTAGTGGTTCATTACCTGTGAGTTATTTTTGAGACAGGTATTATGAAGATTCAGTGACGCTTGTAGTGAAAAAGCTTGAGGTTAAACTAGTGAAAATTCTTACTATTTTCTGTACCGTTGATTTCTCGAATAATAGCTTTAATGGTACGATTCCAGAAGTAATTAGAAAGCTTCAAGCACTTAATCACCTCAACCTTTCTCAAAACTGTCTTACAGGTCAGATTCCTCCATTGTTGGGCAATTTGGGAGGAGTCGAATCCTTAGACCTTTCTTCAAACAAACTTGGCGGGAGAATTCCATGGCAGTTAACTAATTTGACATTTCTCTCTGCGCTGAACCTGTCACATAACCAACTTGTGGGACTTATTCCTCAAGGGAACCAATTCAACACCTTCTCAAGTGATTCGTATGAAGGAAACTTGGGATTATGTGGACCTCCATTAACAGAATGCAGCGACCCTTCCTATCCACCTCATATTGAGGATGATACAGACTCTAAAAAAGATTTTGGTTGGAAAGTTGTGTTGATGGGTTATGGATGTGGGACGGCGTTTGGGTTGATTATTGGATGTCTTGTGTTTACAACAAGAAAGCCTCAATGGCTTGTAAACGCAGTTGAAGGGAATTCCCACAAAACGGTGAGAAGGATTAAAAACAAACAGAGAAGAAGAAGAAATTAGTGTTTGAAAGTAGTTTTCTCCTTTTTATATCATCTATCAGCCATACATAATGTAATCGACTTTAGCAATAGCAAACTGTTTTCTCCTTCTGCCTCAGTATTCTTTCTCTTACGAATTTAAATTCAATTGTCCGGATCTCTTCAAATTATACAAACCCTTTGCCCTTATTGACAGAAACGTTCTGTAATTGTATGGTCTAATTTAGTCAGCACATCTTGGAACAATCACAGTTTGCTGATAAACCATGTTTTAGCCTCTAATTTTAACCAGGACTAATTCAACAAGAGAAAAACAAAGTCCATTCGGAAACCAAAAAAAAAAAAAAAACATTAAACAAGATCGGGAATTCTTCAATATCATCAACATATAGAATTCCAAAGTAGTCTAAATTTTTCGGTCTTAATACATTCTCTTGAAATGTCTAGTGCCTTAAGAACCGTGATTCAACCCAGGAGAGCTAACTTCCGAATTTCTTCTAAGCCTAATATTTCCCAGGAATTATCAAGAATGATGAGGACTTTTTCGTCATTTCTTGCGAGGTCTGCAATGTCTTTTAAGTTTTCATTAATTTCTTTGTAAAACTTTTTAAGTCAAGCTCGTTGATGAGCTGATTTTGCATATGAAAATGAAACCATTGTATTATGTTCATTTTCTCCCAGACTTTATTTACTCAAATTAACAGTCAAATATTAATAGTTTAATGAGTGTAAATACTATTTATCCTTTTATTGACTTAGAAGTCCACTGTGGGACCACTAATGGTGAAATATCTTTCAAGTCTGGAGGCAGAGCACCATTCCAGGAAATTACCTGCAAAATTGCAAATTATATGCAGAAAGCAAAGTTCTCAAAGCTACTTTTTCCAAATTGACTGTCAGTTTCACACAAGAATTGAGGAATTTGAAACTGTGTTTCACGGGTCATTGGCATATTTTATAGTAATGAAAGACTTTGAAATTAACTAGCGACAATGAAAGTAGCGATGAGTGTTGTTACTGTTATTCCAGTCTATTGATGCGTGATTTTGACACCAATAACTATGCACATGCAAAGTGCTAAAAAGTTACATGTGAGGTAATTGTAAGATGTGTTTATGGTGCAGTGATGATGCTTGTTAGTTAGTACGTAAATAACAAGCTGACAAGAGAGAGAGCTTTAGAATGGTTTGGATCTATGAGCAAGTTCTATGTCTACTATGTTTGTATTATGGTTTCTTTTGTGATCAACAATGAAGATTACGAAGAGAACGATCTCTCAAGGGTTACAAGTATTTGAAGTGTTATAGAAGAATGATAAGTTAGTCTCTCTCTAGTAGTGTGTCTTTGCTATTTTTCTCTGTAAAATAAGTATGTGAATTAGATAATCGATCCTGTTGTGAGGAGTGAAGCTTGCTATTTATACTCTTTTCAACTTAAGTTAATGAGTGCTTTTATAAGTTGTCTTAATTTGGAGAAGATCTTCTTTCTTTTTTATTCGTTGGGAGCTTTCATTCATATCCTTCAATTAAATGAAATTTTGGCATATGGCTGCACAAAATATCATTCTGAATTGGAGGTTGGTGGAGATGCCTATTGAGAGCTAATTGGTGGAGATGATGTCAGCATATATTTTAGGCATAACACAATCATTAGTTTTTTCAATTATTTTCCATGTGTGACGCCTCACAAGTATTTTATCAAACACTTGGTGGAAATCTCAAGCTAAAAAAATCTAACCCGCTTCACAAAATTCTAAAACTCTCTTGACTTCTCTACACATTTGTAGATATCTCTTGAATTATTTTCAGTTGGTACAAGATTTTAGGTCTTAAATCTCTATCATTGAATATGGAACATTGTGTAAATCTAGACAATTCATAATAAGTTACGGTTACTACAAATATGAGGAGGCCTCATTTGGCTAAATCATCCAAGAATTGTAAGCTTAAGTAATAAAGAATGCTCTTTTCTCTAGCATAATCTTATGAGTTTGAGTGAGTGTTATCTTTTATTCTCAAAACTAGCAAGCTTGAGTTATCTAGTGGGGAAATAAATAGGATCGTGACAACTGGTATCAGAGCTCGAAGTTCTTGGGTCGCTTACTAGATCCTTCCAACTAGCTGACTTTGTGGAGGTTTGAGTGGGACCACGAACATCCTTCCAACTAGCTCCCGTAGAACTCTGAAAGCTCCAGAATCTATTGAGATATTGTGGCTCGTTTTCCTATTTGTTTCTATGTTAAATTGTATGTCTTTAACCAAGTTTGTTCAACTATGATTTTATCAATCGCATAGGAAAACCCTTTAATAAAGAATATTATTATAAATAGAAATAGAATTATGAGAGTCCTTCTAAGAATTGAAATATCAGTCTAGTAGAAATATAATGTCCCATATATTGTGTATAAATATAGGGGTGAAAACTAATTCAAGGTTATGAGAGAAGGTGAGAACATAAGATATTTGATATAAGGTGTTAGACCGATCGTCACAGTCTAAAAAATTAAACCTAAATACCGTAGTAGCGGTAAGCAGGATCGAATCCACAGGGAGCAAGACTAACAACCTAACGTATTTTAAGTAGCGAAAATGAAATTGACAATGGATTAATGAAACTAAATAGACTAAATGCAAATAATGAAATAGTGCAATTAAAACTAATAAAGAGTTTATAATAAAAATGTTGCCGTTACGGTTTTGGTTCGACACGAGACCGACTCACACAATTCTCCTCCACCCTNTGCAGGATCTAGGTGATGATGCAGTCGGAGGGGCGTCGGCAAGCGAGGAGCAATAGCTACACTGTTTCCCCTGTTTTTGTCTTTTAAAAATGGCTTTCTGTAAATGATGCTCTTGGTGTATAAAAGACTTAATACTTATAATAAAAAAAAGAAAAGTTTTGGGCCCATTTTCCATTGTTATTATGCATGCATTGTACTAGTTTACAGCAGTTCTTACAGAGTCCTATTAAGAATTGAAATATGAATATAGTAGAAATATAATGTCCCATATATTGTGTATAAATATAGGGGTGAAAACCAATCCAAGGTTATGAGAGAATGTGAGAATATAAGATATTTGATGTAAGGGCTATTAAACACCATGGGTCTCTTAAAAATTAGGATTGTTTCCACTTTAGGCATGGTCTGTTAATTATATACTAGATTTATGATGGTGTCGTGTACTCTTGTATAACGTATTCATGAAATTATAGTGGATTTATCTCATCTGTGAACGTAGCCGAGTTATTTTGAACCACGTAAATATCGTGTCTCTTTTTGTGGTGTGGTTTTATTCCTATGTTATTAATCTTAAATGTATGTTTTCTGTTGCATGATCTCCTAACCAAATTATTTGAACTGAATCTTCAAAGGGGACAGAAATGGTTGGTAACATAAATAATCCTTCTTTGCTTGATTAATTTATCCATAAATCTTTTGCACTCCACTGTTTAAAAATTTGAAGGAACTTAGGTTTATATATTTCTCAAAAATCTCTCTTATTTGCAATATCTTGACCTTTTTCTTATGCTCTACATTAGTTTTATGTTAAGAATTATGTTGGCTATCTTTTGATTTTCTTTTTTCTTATGATCTAGGTTGATTTACAATCTGTTTTCAAAAATTTATTATAAGACTTATACACATTTTGGTTTAATTGTGTACTTGTACAAACTCTGGAAGTTTGGAAAACAAAGGATCAGACTAACAAAAAGGATTTAGAGTTTGATTTTTTATAAACTTGTTGACATGCGTTAAATGATTTCCATGGAAGAACCTTCAATATCTTGACTTTCGTTCCAACTTGTTTGAAGGGCCAGCTCAAGTTCCACTACCTAATATAAAAGTATTTTTTATCTCAAACAATAATCTAACTGGAGAAATACCTCAAAAGCCTTGATCTCTTATGCAAAAACTTGTAGGAAACATTACAAGTTCAAGGGGGAGAATTTGCAACTTGCATTCAATTTTTTTGTCGGGCGTCAAATTGAGTCAAGAGATAAATGAAGTCTTAGATATTTTCTCAGGATTCGTTTCAGGGGTTTCGAAGAATCTAGATTAACAGAATACTGATCTTTTTGGTCATTTGATCGAGCAACTTAGGCAGTTTAAAATTTTAAAATATTTTAATCTCAATTACAACTCTATTTCTGGTTCTATTCCCATTTGTATAGGAAAGCTTTCGTTTTTGGTAGTTTTAGATCTTTTAAGTAACATGGTGGAAGGAAAAAGTCAATCCTGATTGGATTCCTTCTTTTTTTAGATGGAACATTTTAGATTAGGATATTGTCATTTAGGGCCTTTATTTCCTTCACGGCCATATTCACAAAAAAACATCTAATTACTTTGGACATATCCAACTTAGAAACTATTGATACAGTTTCGATTTGGTTTTGGACTACTCATTTTTAAAAGTAATGCTAGCCTTACTCACTCCCCTTACTCACTTCTCTTACTTACCTTTGTTAAAATGCTAGTCTTGTCATCTTTTTCACTATTTTAACAAAGGTGAGTAAGAGAAGTGAGTAGCAGGAGTGAGTAAAGCTAGCATTATTCCATTTTTAAATATAAATCTCTCTCATTACCAAATCCATGGAGAGATTCCAAATTTAACCTAGGCTGATCAATCCATTATTGTTGACTTGAGTTCAAATAAATGATAATGTTACAGACATTAAAGGTTTACACCGAATTTTTGCACCGACCAACGTGTCATCTGAGTCAGATGCAGCCATGTAGCACACTAACAAGTATTCTGTGAATGAATGTCTGTCTATCAAATATGGATGAGTGTCCATGATTATTGGATGATCATTCATTTTAACTGGACTCCCATCCATACGAAAATAAAAATGGACTTCCATCTATATTATATGGACGAGAGTCCATTTTCGTGAATGGACGCCCGTCCATAGTTTAAATTATAAAACTACAAAACAATAATAATGGACTCCCGTCCATATAATATGGATGGGTGTCCATATTGAATAGACAAGTGTCCCTATTAGATGAACGGTCGTCCATTGACATAGCAAATAAAAAGATTTTAATAAAATTTCAGGTTTAAAAATTTAGGGTCCCAAAAAAAGTTTTTGAAAAACAAAAAGCAACAAACATCCATTGAAGCCCAACAGCCATTTAATAAGATCCATTGATAAAACAATAATGCTTAGAAAATAAACATATTGCTATGACTCCCAAACAATGGACGCTCGTCCAAAGTCAAGCCTTTTTGTCCATAATCAACCAACATTAAAGGTGGGGCATCAAATGTGCTCTTGCTATGCCCACTACACTTAAAAAAATGCTTAGAAAATAAAACTGCCCAAAAATGGACGCCCATCCAGAGTCAAAGGCTTGGCCTTCCATTAAAATTATAGATGGTGAATTGTTGATGGACGGGCATCCATATTATAGATGGTGAATTGTTGATGGACGGGCATCCATATTATAGATGGTGAATTGGTGATGGAAGCTTGTCCATATTATATGGACGAGCATCTACGAAAATAACAATGGACTCCCATCTATATTATTGACATGAGTCCATCTACTATGGATCATTAAGTTTGCTTCGATCATTACATCTCTGGAAAAAACGACCTCCTGGGGATACTTCCAAATATTTTGGATGCAGCTTAATATTATAAGAGAACTTTTGATTAAAATAAATAGAGCTATATATTTAGTAATAAATGATATAATTTTCATTACCTTGATAATTTATACATATTTAATACAAAAGATAAAAAAAAAAAAAAAAACAACTGTATATAATTAGCTATGATAATTTAAATAAATAATATAATTCAAAACTAATTTGTACACATAAACATGAATCAAATACATGAAAACAGGAATAAAAATTATGTAAATAAAGAAAATTGACACACACGATCAATCTAACAATGAATGACCTTCCATCGGAGTGCTTGATAAAGTTTGATTGGAATAGAATGAAACTGAAATTTGTTTTGTGTTTTTTACTCTCACACACTCACAGCAACAACAAAAAATAAACCCGCCAAATATGCAATAACCCTAAGCAAGAGTAATTAGATATGGGCGTTTGACCCACTTAGACAGGTCCTCGCCCTACCCCGAATGGCTTGGGGAATCCTTGAAAGAGAAATAATTCTCCGCCCCTCATATATAATATCATTTCATTTGAAAAATTTAATATATGATCTTTTCTACGCAATCTTATTAATATATAATAAATCTTGTTAATCTTATACTAATTTGAATAGTTGAAAATTAAACAATAAAGCAAACTAAACAAATTAATTAGAAGAATGAAGAGGAACTTTATACGAGAACAAATTAAAATCGTTGTAAATTAAAATTACCAATTAATTAGAAGAAAGAAGAGGAACTTTATGTATGTTATAAAGATGGAGAGACACAATAAATTGTATCACATAACTCTAAAATCTAATTTTTAGACAATAATATTTGATTATTTTCTAAATTCTAATATCTAATTTTACTACATATCTAACAAGTTACTAATGTTATACCTAATAATCTTACTACATATTATAATTGATCATGGGAAATATTTAACAAGTCCATATCAATTAATTTGTGACATTTCTTTTAAATAATATTTGTAATTAATTTGTCCAATAATTTTGTTTTTCTCGTATTTATTTTCTTTTCTAAAAAAAATCACATTTGTCAAGAAATTACCACTTTAATAGTTATTGTTTTCACACTATTAATTGATAAAATGTGATTATAATTGTGGGAACATTGAGTGAAATCATATACAATTATGAAAATGGGTAGTAATAGGCCTAGTTAGTAAATTCGCGTTTTATACGCGAATTATACGCCCAGCCGTATAATTCACGTATAAAACGTGAATTCCCGTATTCTATAAGCACAGTCGAATTATACGCGAATTATATGCCCTAGCCGTATAATTCGCGTATAATTCCCGTATAATTCGGTCGTATTTTTGAAAATAAAATTTTGTTATCTTATGAGCCAAAACGATGTCGTTTTAGGTGAAATTTGATCAAAACGACGTCGTTTTATGCTTAGTCTCTTTTTACTAAAGCGGCGTTAGGCTCTTTTTGGCGTCCTCTTCCTCTCTTCTTCTCTTTTTTGGCGTCTCTGCCTCTCTTCCTCTTCAACTATTCTTCAACAAACACCACTCTTCGTCTTATCTTCTTCTTCTTCAACTTAATGACAAATAAAATTGTTTGTTTTATTTAATAATTGATCTGTTTCTATAATATTTGTAATAATTCATTACAAATCAAATAATATATTTTTTTATAAACTAAAATATTATAATTAAAAAAGATATACATCCTCCAGATATATGAAAATATAGAGAATGATTAATTCAATGATCATAAAAAGTACTAAAATCAGGATTAATATTGTCGTATTTTTCAAAACGTATTATTAACAATATACCGTATTAAATCCGTATATACCTGTACCGTATTTTTCTCTTATCCGAATTTTAAGGCCGAATTTTTATAAATGTATTTTTTACCGTTTGCCGTATCATTCTCGTAAAATTCCTATACCATTTTTTTGCCGTACCCGTATTTACTAACTATGGTAATAGGGAATCCCCTAAGGGTCAAGGATGGGGCCAGGGAATGGGATCCCAAGCCCTTCCCCTACCCCGGCCCGCGCTCATCCAAAAGAGTAATAGACAAAATGCCCTTTCTCCATGTGGGCTTAATAAACCATATGGGCTTTTGAGCTTCCTCCACATAAGAGGAAAACCCAATAGGAGAACGATCAACTACATGAAGTTTTAGAATAGAAAGGGATTGATGGAATTAGAAATTAATTGAACATTGATATTATAGAAAATATGTCAGTCCTTCACTTAAAATTTTAGACTATAAATGGTCAATTCAGTCATCAATCGACTAGGTGGTTGGCAAACAGCCGATAAATCATTTTCTCTTTTCAACTGGGGGAAATTTTGGATCAGAATAGATGTTATTTGATTCTGTTCGCATGGATAAATAGCAATACACAACTTTACAAGTGTGAATTTTCCATTCCGCAATTATATTCCTTCTTTCATTGATTTGACTTGATTACCATAGGAGTACACGGTGGGACATAAAACAACTGTAAACATTTAAAACCTTGACCCATAGCGATATTCCAGGAGAGCTCCTTTCAACTTTTTTGCAGAAAAATGAGGTTCTGGACCTACTTTGGAAAATTGGTTGCCAGGTCAATACGTAAGCTGAGAAATATGAGATTGTTTTACACGCTCATTCATCATATTTATGGTAGAAGAAGGACTGAGTAAGTAAGTAGAAACAATGAAAGAATCCATGAGTATTGTTGCTGCTCCTGCAACCATTCTTTCTATTGTGTTACTTGCCCTCTTATCCATTAATAGTAGCTTCTGCAGTGGACGATCTGACTTGGGATTCTTCAAGAGTGAGAAACAATATCTTTTACGGTTTAATCAAGAGCTAAAAGATCCTTCCAATCGCCTTGACTCTTCCGACTCCGACCTCCCTCGTAGAACTCTTTTTGAGCAGCCAAAAAGGGTTGGTAAGATAACAATCTTTCTTTCCTCTATTATTCTTAATAATTTGATTTAATTGCACTTAAAATTGTAATATTTATTTCTTTTGGAAATTAATCACTCATATTTCAATATCTTGACCTTTTTTCTTATCTAAGTTCTATACTGAGAATTTTATTTATTTATTTAGGAATCAGGGTGCATTTGAAATTATGTAGCTTTTACCATTATCACACTTATAGTTGAGCTATGAAATTAATCAGTTATAACCCTAAGTTATAGGTTGCCTGATAAACTGTAGTTTACTTTTTTTTTGGGGGCTAATTTATTAACAATTTTATTAAGAATAATTTTTAGAATATTGTCGGACGGTTGTCGGTGATTTTCTCCGATATTGGTGGCCAGTTTTCTATGGCCAGTTGGCGACTGCCAATGATAACAATTGCCTGCCAATGACATTTTGACAGCAATTTTATTTTTTAAAATAANTTTCTAAAAATAATAAATTATTTGGAAGTCATTTTGGCATTTTACTTATAGCAAGCAGATTTCTATTGAGAAAAATCACCTCTTCTGTTACTTTTTGAGTTCGAATATAAAATAGATTATGGGTGAATCAGTACGTGAAAAAATTACTTATAATTGTCAACTGACTCAAGAATTCCAGAAAGCAGAGGCTGAGAAAAAATTATTAGTCTGTACAAGTAATTTTATTTTATTTTTAAATTTATTAAGAATATAAAACATATTTTGGAAAATTGGTTGCCAGGTCAACACGTAAGCTGAGAAATATGAGATTGTTTTACACGCATATTCATCATATTTATAGTAGATGAAGGACTGTGTAATTAAGTAGAAACAATGAAAGTATCCATGAGTATTGTTGCTGCTCTTACAACCAGTCTTTTTATTGTGTTACTTGCCCTTTTAACCATTAACAGTAGCTTCTCCAGTGGAAGATCTGACTTGGGATTCTTCAAGAGTGAGAAACAAGATCTTTTAAGGTTTAATCAATATCCTTCCAATCGCCTTGACTCTTCCGACTCCGACCTCCCTCGTAGAACTCTTAAAGCAGCTTATGAGCAGCCAAAAACGGTTGATAATATAACAATCTTTCTTTCCTTTATTATTTTTAATAATTTGATTTAATTGCACTTGAAATTGTAATATTTTTGTCTTTTGGAAATTATCACTCATATTTCAATGTCTTGATCTTTCTTCTTATGTAAGTTCTATACTGAGAATTTTATTTATTTATTTAGGAATCAGGGTTCATTTGGAATTATGTAGCTTTTACCATTAAGAATAATTGTTCGAATATTGTCGGACACCTGCTGGTGATATTCTCCGATATTGGTGGCTGGTTTTCGACAGCCGGGTGGCGGTTGCCAATAATAACAGTTGCCTGCCAATGACATTTTGACAGCAATTTTATTTTCTAAAAATGCATAAATTATTTGGAAGTCATTTTGGCATTTTACTTATAGCAAGCAGATTTCTATTGAGAAAAATCACCTCTTCTGTTACTTTTGAGTTCGAATATAAAAATAGATTATGGGAGAATCGGTATGTGAAAAAATTACTTATAATTGTCAACTGACTCAAGAATTCCAGAAAACAGAGGTTGAGACAAAAGGAAGTTCCTGGGTTCTACTACCTCCAGGACGGTGTGGCTGAGTTGATGCCATTACCATTGGACAACTTAACTGATTTAATAACTACCATGTTTAAATCTAATTTTGAAAACTGTAAGAAACTTAAGAGTGCCTTTGATTCGTGATCCAAAAGTATTTTCAAACAATTAGTAGAGTTTATAGATCAGATTCAGTTTTACATATATCTTTCCTACAATTTGTGACAGGCATCAAACAACTTCCATGGAAGAATCTTCAATATCTTGACCTTCGTCCCAACTTGTTCGAAGCACCAATTCCAGTTCCGCCACCTGACATGAAAGTCTTTTTAGTATCAAACAATAAATTGACAGGAGAAATACCTCATTTAATCTGCAATATGAGTACCCTTCAAGTTCTTGATCTTTCGGACAATAGCTTGACGGGTACCATTCCAGAATGCATGGGACACTTCAGCAACAGTTTGCGCGTGTTGGATCTGCAGGAGAATAAGTTCCATGGCAACATTCCTGGATTATTTGCAAAGGACAATGACTTGAGGACCCTCAACTTAAATGGCAATGAATTGAAAGGGCCAATCCAAAACTCTTTGCTTAATTGTACAAAGTTGGAAGTCCTAGATCTGGGAAATAACAACATAAACGAGTCCTTCCCAAAATGGTTGGGAAGCCTTCCGGCATTACAGGTTCTTGTTCTTCGTTCTAATAAATTTTCTGGTCTCGTAACGGATCCTGAAGCCAGTAGTACTTCTTTCTCTAAGTTGAGAATTTTTTATATCTCGAACAACAATTTTAATGGTTTATTACCTGTGAGTTATTTTGAGAATATGAAATCCATGATGAGTGTTAGTGGTGAAGTTAAAAAGAAGCCTCAGTATATGGGAGACAGGTATTATGAAGATTCAGCGACGCTTGTAGTTAAAAAGCTTGAGGTTAAACTAGTGAAAATTCTTACTGTTTTTTGTACCATTGATTTCTCGAATAATAGCTTTAATGGTCCGATTCCAGAAGTAATTGGAAAGCTTCTTGCACTTAATCACCTCAACCTTTCTCAAAACAGTCTTACAGGTCAGATTCCTCCATCGTTGGGCAATTTGGAAGGAGTCGAAGTCTTAGACCTTTCTTCAAACAAACTTGGCGGGAGAATTCCATGGCAGTTAACTAATTTGACATTTCTCTCTTTACTGAACCTGTCACAAAACCAACTTGTGGGACGTATTCCTGAAGTGAACCAATTCGGTACATTCTCAAGTGATTCGTACGAAGGAAACTTGGGATTTTGTGGACTTCCATTAAAGAAGAATTGCAGCAGCGGTGAGCCTTCCCAGCCATCCCCGAGATCAGGTGATACAGACTCTGAAGAAGATTTTGGTTGGAAAGTTGTGTTGGCGGGTTATGGATGTGGGACGGCGTTTGGATTGATTATTGGATGTCTTGTGTTCACAGCAGGAAAGCCTCAATGGCTTGTAAACGCAGTTGAAGGGAATTCCCACAAAACGGTGAGAAGGATTAAAACCAAACAGAAAAGAAGAAGAAATTAGTGTTTGAAAGTAGTTTTCTCCTTTTGGTACCATGTATCAGCCATACATAATGTAATCGACTTTAGCAATAACAAACTGTTTCTCTTTCTGCGTCAGTGTTCTTTCTCTTATGAATTTTAATTCAATTGTCCGGATCTCTTCAAATTATACAAACCCTTTTACCCTTATTGACTGAAACGTTCTGTAATTGTATGGTCTAATTTAGTCAGCACATCTTGGAACAATCACAGTTTGCTGATAAACCATGTTTTAGCCCCTAATTTTAACCAGGACTAATTCAACAAGAGAAAAACTATGTCCATTCGGAAACCAAAAAAAAAAACATTAAACGAGATTGGGAATTCTTCAATATCATCAATATATAGAATTCCAAAGTAGTCTAAATTTTTCAGTCTTAATACATTTGAAACTGTCAAAATTGCGGTTATCATGCCACTGCATTCTCTTGAAATGTCCAGTGCCTTAAGAACCGGGATTCAACCCAGGAGAGCTAACTTCCCAATTTCTTCAAAGCCTAATATTTCCCAGGAACTATCAAGAATGATGAGGACCTTTTCGTCATTTCCTACGAGGTCTGCACTGTCTTTTAAGTTTTAATTAATTTCTTGGTAAAACTTTTTAAGTCAAGCTCGTTGATGAGCTGATTTTGCATATGAAAATGAAACCATTGTATCATGTTCATTTTCTCCCAGACTTTATTTACTCAAATTAACAGTCAAATATTAATAGTTTAATGAGTGTAAATACTATTTATCCTTTTATTGACTTAGAAGTCCACTGTGAAATCTCTAACGGTGAAATATCTTTCAAGTCTGGAGGCAGAGCACCATTCCAGGAAATTACCTGCAAATTATATGCAGAAAGCAAAGTTCTCAAAGCTACTTTTTCCAAATTGACTGTCAGTTTCACACAAGAATTGTGAAATTTGAAACTGTGTTTCACGGGTCATTGGCATATTTTATAGTAATAAAAGACTTAGAAATTAACTAGAGACAATGAAAGTAGCCATGAGTGTTGTTACTGTTCTTCGAGTCTGTTGATATTTATTTTTGACACCAATGACTACGCATATGTAAAGTGCTAAGAAGTTACATATGAGGTAATTGTGAGATGTGTTTATGGTGCAGTGATGATGTTTGTTAGTTAGTATATAAATAACAAGCCGACAAGAGAGAGTTTTAGCATGGTTCGAATGCTATGAGCAAGTCCTACATCTACTATGTTTTTATTAGGGTTTCTTTTGTGATCACTAATGAAGATTATAAAGAGAAAAATCTCTCAAGGGTTACAAGTATTTGAAGTGTTTTAGGAGAATGATAAGTCAATCTCTTTCTAATAGTGTGTCTTTACTATTTTTTTCTGTAAAACAATTATGTGAATTCGATAATCGATCCCGTTGTGAGGAGTGGAGCTGCCTATTTATACTCTTTTTAGCTTAAGTTAATAAGTGCTTTTATAAGTTGTCTAGATTTGGTGAAGATCTTCCTTTCTTTTGATTCGTTGGGAGCTTTCATTCATATCCTTAAATTAAATGAAAATTTGGCAAATGATTGCACAAAATATCATTCTGAATCAGAGGTTGGTGGAGATGCCTACTAAGAGCTAATTGGTGGAGATGACAGAAGAAAAAATAAAAACAGAGTTGGGAAATTCATCACACGTATAACAGGCTGTGATACTCTATATTTATAAGACTTTGTATATCTTTACAAAATAATGGTTACATTTTAAACTGCTATAAACAATGCTATGATCATGCTAACGTTAATTACAAGATTTCACAAGATCATGGCTGTTATCACGCAAGCCTTTAACTACTGATTTATTTCCATATTTTGTTATCATGCTAGAGCATTGCTAAGCTGTAGTATTGATGTCTTTTCCGAGTCTTCATCCACAATTGTAGCCTCTGTTTTATCATCCCCCCTCAAATTGAGCATTGTTGAAATGCACAATTTGTCACATTGCAATTCTAAAGCTGGTTTCAGTTGAGGTTTTGTGAAGACATCTGCAATCTAAGACTGTGTTTAGATGTGTTTGGTAACAAGTAACCCGAGTGACACATGTTACCTGATATAGTGGTAATTCACTTCAATATGCTTGCTTCTTGCATGGAATACTAGATTAATTGTGATGAATAGTGAACTCATATTATCACAAAACAGAATTGGAGCTTGAGATAGGGGGACATCTAGATCAATTAGGATGAAAGTGAGCCATGTAATTTTAGCTGTTGCTTGAGCAAGTGCTCTATATTCAACTTCGAAACTAGACCTTGAGACTGTTAGTTGCTTCTTTGAGCACTATGAAATGATGTTGCTTGCTAGGTAGGTACAATAACCAGTTGTTGATCTCTTAGTGAAATTGCAGCTAGCCCAATCAGAGTCTGAGAATCCATAAAGATCAAGAGAACTGGAAGCTTGTATATGAAGACCAAGATTAATTGTTCCTTTGACATAGCGTATGATTCGTCTTACCAAACCAAAATGTGACTCAGTAGGCACATGCATAAATTGGGAGACATAATTCACACTAAAAGAGAGGTCTGGATGTGTCAAGGTTAAGTATTGAAGGGCTTCCACCAGAGATCGATATGCATGAGGGTCGGGGTGTAGAGGTGAATCAGGGCCAAGTTTGGTTGTGGTACATAGTGGGGTCTTGATAGGTTTTGATTCATGCATTCCACTGCATTCCAGGATGTCGACAACATGCTTGGTTTGTTGTAAAAACAACCCAGTTGAAACGGCTGAGACTTGAATTCCTAGAAAATAATGGAGGACTCTGAGATCTTTCATTGCAAATTCTGCATGTAATTTGTTGATGAAATCTTGTATTAAACTCGAAGAGGAACCTATTAATATAATATCATCAACGTAAAGTAAGAGAACCAAAGTGCCTTGATCTGAATGGAAAATAAATAGACTTGGATTAGCTGTGCTGCATTGAAAACCATATTGCAGAAGGTAGGAGCTGAATCTGTCAAACCAAGCTCTTGGAGCTTGTTTAAGTCCATAGATTGCTTTGTTCAAATGACAAACTGAATCTGGAAAATTTGAGTCTCTAAAACCTGGGGGTTGCTCCATGAATACCTCATCGAATAGAGACCCATGCAAGAATGCATTTTTTACATCAAGTTGTCTGATATCCCACTTTTTAACAGTTACAATGGATAAGATCAACCGAATAGTTCCTGGCTTCACAACAGGTGAATAGGTTTTATTAAAATCAATCTCGGGTAATTGATGATACCCTTTAGCAACTAATCTCGCTTTGAGATGTTCCACTTTGCCATCAACTTTGAGTTTTACTTTGTAAACCCATCGGGATTCAACAACATTCATTGATGTTGTACAAGGCACCAAGTTCCATGTTTTTTGTTGTTGTAAAGCAACAAGTTCATCAACCATTGCTTGTTTCCATCCAGAGTTTGAGAGAACAGATTTAAGAGACCTTGGTTCCTTTGGTATTGAATCAAAGTCATGTAGAAGTGCATACTTGGGGTTTGGTTTTTGAACTCCCACCTGACTGCGTGTAATCATAGAATGAGGAGTGCTTTCAGTGTTTTGAGGAGTTGGACCAATTGTGGAGCAGGAGTAGTATTGTCAACAGCAGAATTGGGTTCCTGAAAGTGTTCAGTGGCAAAGAACTGAGAGAGATGATTAGCAGTGATTGAATGTGAACCCGACATAAGATCACCTATAGTGATTGTGGTTTTGAGTTGAGAATTTGGTGTTGGTTGTGGTGCTTCTTCTTCAGGTTGAGTAAAATGATCTAAGTGCTCATAAGAGGGAGTGGACCATGAGTCAAATTCTTGAAAGGTTATGGGTTGTATTCTAGCAGTTATGTCAATGGGATCATTGAAGTTTTTGTAAAGATGATTCATTAAAGACCACATGTCTGGAAACATAAAACCTTTTATTTGATGGAGAATAACAATTATATCCTTTGTGTCTATCACTGTAACCCATAAACACACATGGTAGTGATTTGTTATCAAATTTATCCTTCTTAGAGTCCCATATGCATGGGAAACACCTTAAGCCAAAAACTCTGAATGATGAATAATCAGGATTCTTGCCATATAACCGATAGAAGGGTGAGTCCCATTGTAGTGTGGCTGTTGGAACACGATTGATTAGAAACACTGCCGTGGTAAAAGCTTCAACCTAGAAAATTTTAGGAACACTGGCATGAATTAACATAGTAATGTCGAGTTCTCTAATTACCCAATGCCTTTTTTTTAACTATATTATTCTACTCAGGTGTATAAGGACATAATAGTAGATGTTTGATTCCTGAATTTTAAAGATGTGTTTTGAATATGTGATTAACAAATTCTCCTCCCCCATTTGTCTGAATTATCTTAATAAGTCCATCGAATTGTCTCTGGACAAACTTTTCAAAGAGAATGAATTGATCATAAAAGTCTGACTTTTGCTTTAATGGAATTAACCATACAAACTTTGTGAAATCATCAACTATAGCAACATAAAACTGAAACTGATGAAAAGAGGTAAGAGGAGCAGGTCCCCATAAATCAATATGAATTTTCTCAAAAGGTGTAGAAGTTTTTGATTTTTATAAAGAAAAAGACAACTTAGATAATTTTCCTAATTGACAACTCTCACATATGGAATTGTCTTTATTGGAAATAGTCCTTATTAATGCTTTGTTTCGAAGATAAGCCACTGCAGCAGCTTGAACATGCCCAAGACATTGGTGTCAGATGTCTTCTGAATGAACCCAAAATCTGGAGGAGAACAAAGCCACTAGAGGTACTTGGATTGCATACAAATTACCCCTTTTTAGCCCCCTCATCAGCACCTGCTGTGTCAACTTGTCCTTAATCACAAAATCATTATTAGAAAATTCACAAGTTATTGAATAATCAGATGTGAGTTGTCCAATAGATAATAGGCTCATTTTTTACTCAGGTACAAGAAAAACATTCCTTAGAACAATAGTAGACTATCCAGACCCAAGTAGTGCATCACCAGTAT